ACCAATCACGGAAAACTGTAAGCAATTAATTACTAAATTGACCGAATTTTAAAGATTTAAAAATATGACACGATATACCGCACAATTTATTGAAGAAATAGTCAAAAGAAACAAATTTAACACATAGAAAAGAATATGGTAAGATATGATGCAAAAACACTAGAAAACCAGTTTAAATCAGCAGCTTCGATGAGAATTAAGAGAAAAGAAAAAGGTAATCAAGATTATGCTAATGATGCTGGTTATTGGGAGGGAGGAGCTTGTAATTGGGGTGGTAGTCATAATCTTAGAGGAGATTGCGAAACATTAACTCGAAGCTTTAGCAAGATTGATGAATTAAAAAACACTGAGAAAGAATTGACCGATTGCACTAGCGAACAAGAATTTATCGCTACTAAATCAAGGTTAACTAGACAAGCCGAAGAAATAATAGAAGGATTGCAAGTAAAAACTGGAAATTCTAGTTCTATGTTTGGTATTTGTTGTATTTGAACTGATTATTCAGATTTTATTGATAGTAAATTAAGACCTCTGCGAAATGAAGTAAAGCAATTACAAGAGAAAATAAGCAAAAGCAAATACAAATATTTTGCCGAATTAAAAACTCTAAAGTTAGAACAAAGGCAGATTGAACAAAGGATGAAAGATAACAAACAAAAAGCTACTAATGAAAAAGATCCTACCAAAAAAGCGGTTCTTTTACAGTTGATTGAAGAAGATGGCAAACAATTAGAAACTAACTTAAAAAAACAAAAAGAAATCCCCACTTCTAACTTAAAATTTGAACCTGATAAGTATGTTAATGATTTGGTAAATTCTATGAAAGAAGCAATTGAGAAAAGAGGAAACAACCCGACTACTTCTCGTAATCCGAAAGCATCTAAAAACTCAACTGATTCTAGTAATTCTGATTCAGAAGATGATTTTCTTTCAGAAGAAGCAAGAAAAACGCCTGATAACAACAATCAAGATGACCATCAACTAACTAATTGATGAGAAGAAAATAAGGAGTTAGTCATTTTAGGAAGCGTTGCTTTGTCAATTATCTTTTATTTTTACTATCAAGAGCAATCTAAAGAACAGGAACCTAACTATTATTATGACTACTAACGATATTAAAAAAACTTTTGGAGAAAACACTGAAAAACTAGAAAAGAAAACTAAAGAATTCATTGATAAAACTAGCCCTTATTATTCTAATCTAGAACCACATCAGCGAGGAATACTGATAATTGTTCTACTATTAGCACTTATTTTTTTTATTTATTGGTTAACTAAGAAAGAACCACGAGAGTTAACAGAAATGGAAAGAAAACAGATAGAAAGTCAAGTTGAAGAAAGAATTTTAAAAAGAATGGAATTTTTAAAGAAATTAAGAATTTAAAATGATGTGACAAGAAGCAACTTCTAACAAAAAGAAAACTAAGCATACTGAACAGTCATTATTGCTTTTATTACTATTAGGAGGAGGATATTATTTTTTCTTTCATTTACCAAACAAAAGAAAGAAAATTAAAGAAGAAATAAAAACTCTGTTAGAAAATAACTCAAACATTAATCTTAGTGATTTAAATTCTAACCTATGAAAAGGATCTAATAATTGGGAAAATTATTTAGATAGTTGCTACTTAGTTTCACAGATCAATTTATTTGCTAATCAAATGAAGAAAACAATCAAGGAGAAAATCGATGATTTAGAACGAAATAATTTAACATCAAAACAAAAGAGAGAAACAGCAATTATAGAATTAAGCGATTATTGTCAACTAGAAGAATTAGAATTACCAAATTTTAAAAAAATTATCAAAGATTATTCTAAAAAGATTAAGCAAGAACCGGTTGATAATATTTCTTCCTTGCAAAAAGAGGCTAACGAATTAATTGTTGAAGAAAGGGTCAAAAAACAAGGTTTGCACTGGAAAAGAAAAACAAAAGGAATTAGTAGTTGAGCGGATATTTGACTAAATGATAACATCCAAACTTTTGAGCAAGCTTGAGCCAAGATGACTGAAATAATGAAAAGAGAACCAGAGCATTTCAACATTGCCGCTTCTTATAAGATTAAATTTCCTCCCAGTCTTTGGAATAATCTAACGAATAAGCAAAAAACTCACAAAAAGTCTGAAGAACTTGTATTGAGTGATGATGTTCCAACTTACAAATTTAGTGACTTAATTACCGAATGAGAAAATAAAGCGAAAATAAATCCAGTCAGAGGCGAAAGAGATCCTGATACTAAACTCGATAACAATGCTCTTTTTTACGGAGCACCACGAACTGGTAAATCAGTTATGTCTGAAAAGTTGGCTTATGAAGCTGACTGTTATCCGTTAGTAGTAATTCAAGGTTCCAGTTTAACACCAAAAGACTTAGATTATAAATCTGGCATTGATCCCTTAGGAAAATTTATTTTTACCCTTTGCGATATTGATCATACTTTAGTTGATGATTTTGGTTTCGAAAGGGAAGAAAATGGCGAAGTAAGATACATTCTCTTTGTGGATGAAGCCAACCAAATAACTACTAGCACTTTAATTTCTAGGTCTACTGAATTGACTTTTTTAAAGGAATGTATGGGTAGTGATACCAGAATAAACGAAAGTAAGAATTTATGGATTATGGCTACTAATCATTTAGATCAAGTTAATCCAGCTGTTTACCAACCAGGCAGATTAAGTAATCCATTAGATTTTAGTTGAACCTTAGGAGATTTTATGAGATATGCTGATGATGCCGGTATTACTGGTGATTTTCCTCAACGCTGAATAGACACGCAAACCTTAAATGATGAAGACAATAAATGAGTGAATAGATTTAATAAAATGTATTTTGATAAAGACTTTTTGCCCTTTTGAAGTAAGTTTATAAGCAGTAATTCTAACGCTGAATACGAACCAGAAAAAGAGGAGAAAAATAATAGAGAGAATGATAATGGTGACAAAGAAAAAATAAAAATCAAGTTAGGAGAAATGTTTGAGTTCTTTTGAAGATTATTCGACAGTAAACAATTAGAACATTTTCAAGGTAAATTTGAACCACCGAGAAAACCAAAAATAGAAGAAGTAGTAGAAAAAACTGCTAATCAAATAAGCAAGTCAATAGATGTTCGTCTAAAAGAATTAATCGAAACAGCTGAAGAAATTAGAAATCAAGCACTAACTGCTAGAAATACTTGCACTTCAACCATAGAAGACAGTTTAGAACAAATAAGGTTAGTAATCACCCAAATGAAATAGAGAAATATGACAAATCAACAAATTACAAATTTAGAAAACAAAATAACCAAAATTGAAGAAATTATTAACAATTGAGAAACTGAAATTATGAATTACAAAAATTTAATAACCAAAATAAAACAAGAAGTTAGCCAACTAAAAACTAACTCTAATATTACTAAATAACCATGGTAGCACCACTATTAATTGCTTTTTGTGTAGGTTGTGGAACTTTTGTATGTAAAAAAATCCATGATGCTTATGAAAATAATCAAAGAACTAAACGAGATAAGTATGGTTTAAAATCTAAGGCTATTGATGCCGCCAAAGAAGATAATAAAAAAGCTCAGGAAGAAAGTGTTGAGTTAAAGAAAAAGTTAGAAGATTTAGAACAAAAAATTAATCAAAGAAACACTGAAATACAAAACCTCCAAGAAAAACTAAAAGATCCTAAAATTTCTAGCCAAGAAAGAGGAGAATTAGAAGAAAAATTGGCTAGTCTTTTAGCCAGCCAAGAAGATGACAAAAGAGGAAAAAATAAAATCCTTGACAACTTAAAAAAGTTAGAAGAAAGAATCAAAAAAAATAATGAAACCATTAATAAAGCTGGTTTAAATCCCGATGACAAACACTGAGTTTGAGATTTAGTTACTTTGGAAAACACTATTGTTTTTGTAGGTTGCTATATGACCTATAAACTTTTAAAAGACGACAAATAAAAATAGCAGTTATTAGAGTTTTTTTTTTTTTTTTTTTTGCTAAAATTTTTTTATAGGATACTATGAAATGTACTCGGTGTGGAGCAAAATTAATTGGCAGTAAATGTTTTCGTCCTAGTTGTAAAGACTATTGGCAAAAACATTGAGAACAA